CAACGATATATTATAAGTCAATTCCGATGAATAATGAGGAAGTTATGGATTAAATTAAATTAGGCCCAATGATTTTAAATGTGGCCCAATGATCTAGAGGAGGGCCTATTAATTATTATTCCTAAACTGATTAGGATTGATTTTAATCTTCTAGGAATATCTAGAAGGTTCTTTTTAATTCTAATGAGCTTAGGATTGATAATTATATTTTTAAAAGATGTTTTATTTTGAATAAAATGTATTATTTATCACAAATCTGATTTTAAATCTGCTTAGACGCGGAATTACCTTTTAACCCATTTAAAAGATGACTCCGCGTATGAAAGTGCGTTGAACTTTTAAATCAGCTTGTCGTCTGGCGCTGCAGCTGTCGCCTGGCGACAAGCTTGTTGTGACTCCTATCATTGGCGACAGGAGGTATTTTATTCCGAATATGATTTTCTTTGATCTCGTGCTATTTTTCCTATAAATAGGGGTCGTTTCATTCACAATAATGAATTCACAACTATCATCTCTCTCTATTCTCTCTCTAAAAGCTAGAAGCTTTCTCTCTCTCTCTCTCTCTATTCTTTTTCTAAACCTTCCCTCTTTCAAAATTCCTCACTCGTTAGATCTAGACACACCTAGCCAAGTTCGAAGTTGCCTTCGCCCTAGACATGAAAGGTTTGATATTTCTGAGGGTTTGGTCCCAAATCTCTATTTCAATTATTTAATTTAATTGTTTGTTTTATTATTTTTCCTTGAAGTTACTAACATGTGTATTTTGTTATTAGAAAGAGATACGAGGTATCAAAGTAAGTAATTTAATTAATATAGTTGTTTTATTGATCTTTTAATATAAAAATCATGCTTAGATTATTTTGTTGATTCCTAGTATCATGTTAGGATGTTATATTGCTTCCTAGTATCATGTTTAGGGTTAATTAAAATTTCTAATATCATGTATATTTATGATGTTTCCTATTTCTTTCCTAATATCATGTTAGTACCATGTTAGGGCTAATTGATCTTTAATGTTTGGTGACATGCTAGGTCGTTATTAATTTTGTTAGTATCATGCCTGGATTTTGCTATTATTATTATGCTTTAACATGATTATGATTTTTATGATGATTGTTATTATGTTGCTTGATATTATATTTATTTTTATTGTTGTTTCTTGATCACACCTTTTATGCATGTTTAAAGGGAATTTGTACTTATAATCATGCTTAATAAGATAATTAATAATCTTCTTTAGGCTAATTTGACTATAATTCAAGTGATCGCCAATAATAGTTTTATTTGTGCATTAATATTCAACCAACATACATTAAACAGGTTTAGGGTTAATATATTGATTGCATGTTAGACAGAAAGTGCACATGAATACGAGAAGAATAAAGTAGAGGCCTATTTTTAGGGCAGGTTCAATCTCTTTTAGGTTGGATTTGTACCTTCATCCCCGAACTTTCAGTCATGGTTCCATACCTATTGGAGTTAACGATCTCCTGGATCTTTAAGGGGTGTAACCTTCACCCTGTGAACGGTTTACAAGTTCTTAAAACTTGTTGGCAACTCTTTTACTCTAACTTCCTTCCCTTTGGATGCCACCATGCTTAAGTGTATGATCACAGTGGGGCTCAAGTGTGGGATGACTTGAAATATTCCCTACACCGAGAAATTCAAGTAACCCTGGAAAACTCAAATAACCCATGATAGAGAAACTCAAGTAACCCCTGCCGCACGGTACAACATGCCGCATATAAAAATTTGTGTAAGTTTACAGTTGTCAATATGTTAGTTTAAAGCTACATCAAATATTTTATTAGACTTAGATATGTAATTTTTACTAATGTAGAAAGATTTAATTAGTTTCTTAAATAGATTGTTTTCCAAAAAGATAAAAATAAGAAAATTTAGCGAAGAACTACCATTTAAATGACGGGTTTTGAAAACAGCTACCATTTAAAAAAAAATTTGAAACAACTACCACAAAAATAAAAAAAGTTAGAGTAGTACTACCTTGACAATTATTCCGGCGAGAATATTCGACAGTGGGCCCCACGAATTACACTTTTCCTCCTAAAATTCTTTCTCTCTCCTCTACATTTAACTGATAAACTTCGTTTGCCCCCTTTTGCCTTTGTTTAAAAATTTTAAAACCCTAATATCTTGATTGTTTTCAATTCCAAGTAAACATGGGAAACGGGCCGTGCCGCGGTGGGGGTCGTGCCGTGCTGTGCCGTGCCTAATTTTGGCACGGCACGACCCACGTGCCTAGCGGGCCGTGCCATGCCGGGCCGCGGGTCAAACCGTGCCACTTTAATTTTTTTTATTATTTATTTTTTTAAATAATAAATGTAAATAAAGAAACGATATATATTGTTTAGTACAACTTAATTTTATTTAAATAATGTGATTAATTTATGTTTATGTTAATGTTAATATATTTTGTTTAGAACAACATTATTTTAATTAAGGTTATATAAATTATTTATCTAATTATGTTTAAGTTTATATAAAGAAATAAAAACAATTTTACTAATTTAGCAAAAAAAACAACAATGCATATAATAAAAAAAATTACGAGTGCGATAATCCGAAAACACAAAAAATTGAAGATAACTTATTTTATTATATGCCGGGTTCCGGTACGATAAATCGATAATACAAATAATTAATGATAATTAAAAATCGTACAATATTTGGTGAATAACTTCATTTATTATACGGAATACGAAGTTCGATATTACAAAAATTGTACAATAGTGTATAATGGTGAGTAAATATGGGCCTCGTGCCGTGCCAAGCCGTGCCATGTGTCATGCCGTCGTACCCCGTGTCGTGCCCTTGCCAAAACTGATTTTTTGTTCACGGCCCACGGCCCACAGGTGGGCCATCATGCCGTGCCGTGTCGGGCTGTGCCGGCGTCGTGCTGGCACGACCCGTGCCCACCTTTAATTCCAATCAAGAGGTGAAGGTAAATTTTTAGGCGAACTCAAGTCAAGGTAATGTATGTCTCATTACCCATTTTAATTGACATAATTTCTCAATTGAATATTCAAATTAGGGTTCTTTGGAAAAAAAATTGAAATTGGGGATTTCTAAAATTGAGGGTTTTGGGGGCAATTAATCTTTATTATCCAATTTAGAGTACATTCGTCAATTCAGGTGGGATTTTAGGAGGAAAAGTGTAATTCGTGGGGCCTAGTGCCGAAGATTCTCGCCGGTATAGTTGTCAAGGTAGTGCAACTCAAACTTTTTTTTTTGTTTTTTTGGTAGTTGTTTCAAAAAAAAAAAAATTAAACGGTAGTTGTTTCCAAAACTCATCATTTAAATGGTATTTCTTCGCAAAATTTTCTAAAAATAAGGATTCACCATAAGACGACACGTGTTATTGTTGGTGTGTCTTTTAGTATATAGTTATTGATTGATTGATGATTAATTATTTATAAATCGCAAGCAAGTCCTTTTATACAATCACTGTGGATGCTATAACATACAATTAATTTAAAAAGGTCTATCACTTACAAAATACCATGTGCTCCTTACTTAGTACAACAATCCATAATATCTAATGTGGGATAGGAATTAGGGTCTGTTCTAATTAACTAAACTCAGCTGAACGAAACTGAACTGAATTTATTGAAACTGAACTGAACTGAAATGAACCGAACTGAACTGAACTGAACTGAATATTTTATGAGAGAAGGAAATTAAGAACTAAACTGAACTTATTGGAGCCGAACTGAACTGAACTGAACTGAAAATAATCTGAAGAGAATAAGCCCTTAGGAAAGACCACCCTATAATCTCATTCTCCGTACACTCCATAGCAAGGCAATATGGAGTATTTGCAAATACTGTATATAGTATAGTTTAATTATAAACCTAAAAGAGTAACAACTACATTAGTACGAGGTTGAGGTGATAGAGTAGTGACATCACTCCCACCTCGTATCCTTGAGATATAGGGATCAAGCCTCATGAGATTCATTAGAGGGATTTCCCTTATATCCTCCCTCAAATGAGAAGCCTTTTCCCAAAATAATGTTTTTTTTAAATTTTTTTTTTCTAATTCCCAAAACACAACCACTTTTTTAAATTTTCCCATTATACTGTACACGTCAGCGAATATAAAAAATCTATTTTTTTTTATTTTTTTTACGGTTCAAGTGAAAGCCGCTATTTGAAGTGGCGGTTTTCATCTGAACTATTAAAAAAAAAATCCAAGTTAAGAGCTTTGAGCATCTGCAGCACCTGCATTTCTCAACCCCATCTTTCCTCTTTTTTTCCATAGTAAATCTTCTTTGACATATGCATGAATCCAATTAAAATACGTAGTATAAAATTTAACATTCCAACCCAAATTTGAAACTGTAGTAAGTATCACACTAAACTCACATACAATTTTCTCAACGAAAACCATCCCTCAGAACATCACTTGTCAATCAAACTCCATTTATTTCCAAATTCATCTCTCACAACTTTCTCCCAATAATTCTAATTTCATTCATCAAACTTACAATTCTGATAATTATTTGACAATTTTAATAATTAATTTTTTTTAAAAAAAGTTAGGGCAACTAACTAACCATTCACCAACAAAATCAGGATAAATTAAAACAGTAGCAGAATTGTTGCAGGAGCGGCTCGATGGTGGAGGTTAGTCGGCGGCGGATTACTCCTGCCATGGTGATTGAGGCGCTCTCCTTGACATGCTAGAACTCTAGAAGGTTGGTTGGTTGTCGAAAGGAAACTTGTTTCGCTTAAAATTTATACCAAGTATAAACTGCTACTTTTTTTTTTTTTTTTGATAAAAAAGTATAAACTGCTACTTGGTTTTGCAATAAAACCGTAAATAAAAAAAAGTCACACTAAACCGGTGACGTGGACGGTATAGAGGGAAATTTTAAAAAAAGTAGCTATATTTTGAGAATTAGATAAAAAAGCAACATTATTTAGGGAAAGAGCTCTCTTTAACCAAAAAAAGAAAAAAAAAAGAAAAAAAAAAACAAAACTACATTAGTTCTGTTACAAGTTGGAAAAAATAAATAAATAAGTAAATAAAAAAAATAAAAATAAAAATAAAAATGGTTTGCTGGAAAGACTTGATCAAAAATGGGAAAGAACATATCAATAAAAATTAAACCAACCAAAATGTCTTTGCTATTACTTCTGGAAACCTGCAAGAAATCCCCTTCTTCCATAAAACCTCACTGTGTCCCCTATTCTTTACATTTCCAATGTCGTAATTTCATGACTCGTCTACTTACTTGACTCGCTACTCTAACTTAATCACTCTCTCTCTTTTGCAGCCTTTTCATACCCATATACGACCTGACGGCGCTTCCCCTCTCTCTCTCCTTTGACCTTTAGTCAACACGCTACCGCCATTTTCTCTTATAAATTTTAAAGAAAATTAAAAAGGGTACAGTACCACAGTAAAAAAAAAATTAAAATAAAAAAAATACTGAAAAAAGCAAAGTGGATTTCAGAATCTGGGTACCAGCCAATTTTAATAAAGTGCCAAGATTTCCTCCCCAGATTTTCATTTTTTTTCAAAGGACACACAAAAATTAAAATTTTATTAAAATTAAATTAAATAAATAAATGAAATTCCACCTTAGTATAAAAATTCCCCCCACTTCTTCTCTTACCTCATTCATTCCCTTTCTTTCTACCTTTTCTCCTTCATCTTCTTCCCCTCACCTTAAAAAATTTATTAAAATTATAAATTCTCAAAAATAAAGATAAATTAAATTTAAAAACCACACAAATTCACTTTCCTTTTTGCTCAACAAAAGTTTCCTGAAATTAAAATAAATAAAAGCAATTATACACCGAGAGATTCGTATAAAGATGATGAATATGGCTCGGAACGGCGTCGTTTCGAACCGGCGATGGAAGTCGGAATCAGGAATTGATCTTCTAGATTCTCAAACTGAAGCTCATGTTTTAGCTGTCGATGACAGTCTCATTGATCGTAAAGTTATTGAAAGATTACTCAAAACTACGTCGTGTAAAGGTAATATATATCACAATAATAATTAAACTTTCATATTTTTTTTAACGGTCTCCAATACAATTAGGCTACGAAATTTAACTGTAAGTCTTGTGAATTGTTGCAGTTACAGCGGTTGATAGTGGAATGCGAGCTTTGCAGTATCTTGGATTGGTTGAAGATCAAAGAAGTTCCGTTGTTGATGTGAGTCTGATTTGTATATATATTTTCTCCGTTCTTTTTTAATCGCAACGTTAATGAGATGCAGGGAATTGAATTGCATTCTATTTTTCTAATTTTCGGAAAAATTTGATGATATTAGGGGTTGAAGGTTGATTTGATTATAACTGATTACTGTATGCCTGGAATGACGGGGTATGAACTTCTCAAGAAAATCAAGGTTTGCTTCTTCGTTCTCATTTTTTTTTTTTTAAATTACAAAATTGTTTTTATTTCGATAGTTTTATTAACGATGAAAATTTCGGCATTGTAAAATAGCAGGAATCATCAACTTTCAAGGAAACCCCGGTTGTTATAATGTCATCCGAAAACGTTCTGGCGCGAATCGATAGGTAATTTCAATTTCCTTATCCGAGTCGAGAGAAGACTGTACTAACTTCTTGTGTGTAGTTGTTAAAAGATGTATTTGCAAATATGAATATTTTAATTAATTTTAAATTGTGTGGGAGCAGATGTTTGGAGGAAGGAGCAGAGGATTTCATACTAAAACCAGTGAAATTATCCGATGTAAAACGAATTAAAAACTACATGACCAAAGAAGAAGGATCCAACGGCCGAGAAAGTGGGATAAACAAGAGGAAAGAAAGGGACGGTTCAGATCAATCCTCAGAATCACAATCACCTCCTTTATCAAGATCTACATCGTCCGATTCATCAACGTCATCGTCGTCGTCTTCATCGTCGGATTCTCCATCAACACCTCCCTCTTCATGTGAACCGTTGGATTCACCCATATCACCATCGTCACCTTCTGGACCGTTGGATTGTCTTACTCCATCTTCACCTTCTCCTGAACCATCTCAGCCGTTGGATTCTCCAACTAGACGGCTTAAGATGACCCCGTCTGACCTGGCAGGGCCCACTTCTTGATCACTTGGTCCGGTTCAGGTTGGGTTTTTTATTAAAAAAAATTTCGAAAAAGCCGTCCAATTAATGTCTTTTTTTTTTTGCCAGCATTTTGCAATTTACGGGGTACATCTAACGTTTTTTATTTTTTTTTTTTTTTTTTTATTTTTGTATTTTCGATTTTTTTTTTTTTTAAATTTTTTTTGGGATATTTCATGGAAAATTACAGGATACTTGTTAAATTAGCTTATATCCCTTTAATTTCCACTGTAAATTAATGGAACCACCTATTTTGTTTTTTGTTTTTTGCGGTTTAATTAGCATGATAATCTTTTCAAATTACATATAATTAATGATGTAGAGTTTTATTTGCTTATAGTTCTGTACTCCGTACTAAGTACTATGGAGTATTGTTTATGTTCATTATTTGACTTTTTTTTTTTTTTTTTTTTTTTTTTTTGACGTCTTGTACTGCTTTCTCCATATGAAAAATATTGGTTAGTCACGTATAGTACTTAAAATAACAAAGTTTTTAAAGTAATCCATACTTTGTTTGCTAATCGAATTATCAATAACTAAAACCGTGCCTAGTTAGATTGAAGGAACATAGAGTTGGAAATGATGGTCTCGGTTTATTTGCTCATCGGTTTTTTTTTTTTTTGGTGAATACGAGAGGCAAGTCCCAATGCTCATCAAATTATCGGATAACTATAACCGCACCTAGTTAGATTGAGGGGAAAACAAAGTTGGAAATGATGGCCTGGATAGAGCCAACGTTTTAGGTTTGAATCAGGTTGTTGTGTTGGGTTAAAGATTGTAGGATTTATTTATAAATCTAACACAACCTTTGTTCTTTATTTCCTTAAATTGTACTCCGTAATATTCTCTACTTGTTGGGATTACGGGCACTTGAAATTCAAATTTAAGATCTTTTACTAGTATTACAACCAAAATTTTGTACGGAGTATTATTCTACCCAAAAATATTTTTGGAATAGCAGAGTATAATATATTAATTTCATTAATTTCCACTCATGAGGAGGGCCTCTTTGTTTTCTTACCTTAGCTTGAAAATAACAATATTATCATTGATTTTGGGTGATTGTGTGGATTAGGTTAGTTTGATGTAGTTTTCTTAAGGATCTTTGTTTATAGATTTTGATTCGTATGAAAGTATTTGGTTAAGGAGAAAAAAAAAATTAAGGTTTATTACAACATTGATAGTTCAACGGCAAGACCGCAAGAGGTATTAAAAAATGGGCCATGGTCTAATTTATGTCAATTCACAAATCTTGTATGAGGGTCCGCTGTGATTTAGTGAATCATCATGTTGAAAATTGCATTTCAGTTTCTTTCCCTCGTTTTTTTTTATCTATTCATTCTATAGTACTCTTTTGTTGCTTACTTTTTGAGGTGTCTTATGTCTACCTTATTTATAGAAGATGATTTATCTCTTTCTTTCCCACTACATCATTAGTGATCATTTACTTGATGAAATAAAATATCATCCTAATCACCCAATTGGTAAAATTGGAAATTTTAACTTTAAAAAAATTCATCTTGTAAAAATTACTACCTCCGGTTTGTATTATATGCAACTTTGAAATATGTTATACCTCACAAATAATGCACCAAAGTTGCATATAATACGAACTTGAGGTAGCATTTAATTTTTACAATTTTACGCGCTATATGAATATACTCCGTATCATTTTAACTGGTGTGTGAATGATACTAAATAGCCAATAAGTTCATGTACGTCTTTGATTTTGAATTATAAAAGGAAAATAATTGGTATCTCAAAAGTCTTTTTAATAAGTAGACAACCCCCAAAACAAAACAAAAAATATAGATCTCATTTTTAGCATATAATCTACATATTCCAACTTCCTTCATAAAAACAAAAACTAAAAGTTTTCAAACTTTTATAAAATCAATTTATAGTCATTAGTCATCCCTTTGAGGAAAAAAGGGTACACGCCGATGTTGATTTTTATCCACACATATATTACGTATATTTCATTTGAATTTTAACAAAACAGGAAAATAAAAATAGAAAATTAAGTAATAAGAACTTTTTTTTTTTGAGGCAATAGTAATGAGAACTTGAGAAGGGTATTTTAGGTAATTCCAAAACCGAGTACGGGAAAAAGAATATGGGGAGGGAGGCTGGACTTCTGTTATGATATGGAAAAGATATGAAATGATATGATTCGGATTACGGGAGGTGGGATTGATATCTGTTGTCTGCTATGTCAAGCAAGAATACACCTAATTTTGATTAAAATAAAATTGGGTGCAAAGATTACACGATGTTATAAATTATAATAATATGTAAAATGTATTTAAGCTTATGTTGATGAGATGTGCATGCTATGTATCTTAATTAAAAAAAAAACTTAATTAGAAACCATGTTATCTTCCTTTAGTAGTTAATTAAGAAAGTGGACCAACAAATAAAATACACTGTGGCTTGTGGAGTTGGAGCTTCGACTTGGAGGTGGGTTCCTCTTGCAAGTAGTAACTAATTTATAAATCTATTGTGCATTTTCTTGTTTATGGAAAAATTCTGTTTTGCTACATTGAGGTATCGCGAAATTTTACTTTATTATTCTGTGTATAGGAGTTAAAAGATTGAAATTTAAATTTAGATGATGTTTTATTTGTGATTCATTAGTCCTTTAGGTTAGAAGATAATCGGTAAAAATAAATGAATATGGATATGATGACATGACATTTAAATCGATTAAGTATATATTCACAATAAGTCATAGAACAAAAAATATCCACGAAACACACTATTAAGTTTGCAATATTAGTGGATGTCATACAAATACCAACTTACTCAATTTAGTCAATACAATGTTCAAGTACTTATTATTTGTATGTGGATGACTTGATGGGATAAAAATACCATTAGTCCATTACCCCTTTAGTTGATTTAACTATTCTAATATTCTCTTTGTCAAAAAAAAAAAACTTATTCTAATATTTGTAAAATCTCAATTCATACCATACTAAAATTTCAATCCTGACCCTTAACCAACCTTAAATCTAACATACTATTGAGAACACATCGAGCAGAATGTATATGTTAGAACTTATGTATCAACGTGGCAGAATATACGAAAAGTGAGGTGTCCGGCCCAATAAAGTGACTGATGACCCTTAATAAGATGATAAGGGTGAGCAGCATAGGGCTTGTGGGTTCGAGGGAATGAGCTGGGAATTAAACCAGCCAAAAAAGGCGGCCTAAATAGAGACAACCAAGTTTCGGGGTCATGCTGTAGAATTGTCCCAGGCTGATCCCCTTTTGGTTGGCAACAATATCTTGTTATCCAATTTTATTTTATTTGTCGCCATTTTCTTCCGAATTTTTTGCCAACTACTTTTTTTGTCACCAAGATCTTCATCTAATTGATCTAAAGCTTACACACTACCTAACATTTTTTTTAAAAATAAAAACAGCTTACAAAAAATTAGTTCTTGTTCACCAATTACAAACTTGCTTATCTCTTAATTATATTAGTACTGAGTAGTCCTATTTTCTATTGGTAATTTATCAACTTTCATAGATTTTGTTCTGACTCATAAGATTTTTTACATAGTGGGCCGGCAAAATCCACCTTTATTACTTTCTTATGTGATTTGCAAGAGGTCAATACATTTATTACAATTGTTTTTGAGGCACCATTCCTAAATATAGATCATAGTTGACTTTGACACCTTTTTTTTTAAAATTGTTTGTGAAAAATAACGTTTCACAATCATATTTCAATGATACATACTTTCTAATCTAGAATAAAAATTGGAGAGGAACCTTGGAGGTTGGCGGGCTTTTATGGGTGGCCGGAGGTGGGTAATAGACATCTCTCGTGGAGTTTATTAAGGGATTCGATGACTCAATCTAGCTTGTCATGGGTCTGCACTGAGGATTTTAATGAGATCATGTTCCTGTCGGAGAAAAATGGAGGCAATGATAGAGCTGCGTGGCAAATGGAGAATTTTAGAGATGCGACAAATTTTTGTGGCTTGAGAAATCTTTCTTTTTTCAAGATATGCCTTTACATATGACAATGGTAGAGAGGAACATGAAAATACACATTATTTTCTTGATAGAGCTTTGGTGACTGATTGGTTTATCGTGTTTCCGGATGTAAATGTGGTTCACTTGGATCGAGATTGGTATGATCATCATTGTAGACACCTAAAAATGTCTCCCCAAAACCAAACCCGATGATGAACAACCTTTCACCGTCATTATTGGTCGGATTGAATATTTAATATTTGGAGTGCTTAAATCCATATTCAATCCAACACATTTCATAAACCAACCCAATTTTTAGCCCATTTCCCTAAACCATATCTTATTTTTCTCATTTCGTGTCCACATCACAAAACAGAACTAAAATGATTTTTTGGTCCTTTAATTTTGATCCAAATATTATTTTATTGGGTAGACCTTAAAATAATCTTTCCAACGATATATCATAAGCCCAATTCCGATTTAAAACGAAGAAGATATGAGCAAAACACTAAAATTCAGCCCATAACCGACACCCTTTCACTAAAATGGCTATATGTTAAAACAAACTCGAGATTTTGACATGATTATAACTGGGTGAGAAAGTAGACTTGAATAACTTTCCAACGATATATTATATGTCTTATTCCAAGTAACGGATCAAAAGTTATCGAAGTTTTAAAAACGAGTAAAAACTGGAATTTGCCGCGCCACGTCATATTTTACCGTGTCACGGCACATTCTACTGTGTTACGTCAATTTGTGTTGTGACAAGGCAATTTCTAGGGTTTATTTCTCCGCAACGCTTCAATTGTAGGGTTCCGTACCTCACCCTCATATTTTCTCTATAAATATGAAGCCGATTTCTCAGTTTCGGGGCACCAAATAATACTCTCTTCCTCTCTTATGCACCAATACATATTCTAATTCCTCTCTCACATTCTAAGCCTTAAATTTATTCTCACTCCATACAACAACCGAAATTCCATACTTAAACCAAGGCGTGAAAGGGAGAATCGATTGAGGGTTTGGAGTTTTGGACCAAATCAACTCAACTTTAATTTAATTTAATTTCAATTTAATTGAATTCATATTTTGATTGAAGTTACTAACAATTTATTCATGATGTAGCAATTTAAAGAAGCGCGGAACGCGAGTAATTTATTTACTTAATTACTCTTATTCTTATCCTTATTTCTAGTATCATGATTAGGCTTATTATTATGCTTTAATTTGACTATCGTTATTATGGTTATATTGCTTCCAATTTTAATATTAATTC